TTTTCTTTCCTCCATTTCTGTCATTTGTGACCTGTTTCTTTGTCTCTGCATTTTTTATGCTTCCCTGTGTTGATAGAGTGGCTTTGTGTGCAAGGTGTCCTATAGGTCCCAGTGGCTCAGCCTCCCCAATTACCTGAGGTGGACACTCTTGGTGCACCCCTTTGTGGGCTTTGTGCACAGTCTTGTTGTAGTTAAGCCTTGATTGTTGTAGGTATCACTGGGAGGAATTGACCTCCAGGCCAATTGGCTGTGAGAATCAGCTGTGTCTATGGTGGGAGAACTTCTGTGCTGGAGACACCCTTCTGGGGCAAGACTTGCTTCAGTGGGGCTTTGGTGCTCACTGAGTCTGCCCCCTGAGTGTGTCCCTTATGGATCTGAGGAGTTGTAATCTGGATGGTCCCACTCTGACCACTGGGTACACTGGCTCTTGGATCTCTAAGGAGGTGCTAATTTAGCCTCTGCCTGAGGCTACCCAGCAGGAGCCCAGCTGTGAAGCATTGCAAGCTGCTGTGGGGCCTTTGGCCTTCTTTTGGAAGTTCTGGGTTTCTCTGACCCAGCTGCAGTTTGTTAGGTAATTTTCAGATTGCAAAGGGCCAGGTCTTTCATATGCAAAAGCCTCTGCGCACAGCTCAGGTGGGGCGGGGTCTCTGGGGATCAACAGGGCGGAGCAAGCAGCTATGGCTGCTCCTCAGTCCTGCCCTAGGAGGCCCCGGGTCTCAGTGTCCTGGTAATCACTGCAAGTACCTCTGAGAGAAAGCCGCCCTCGAGTTCCGACCGATGCCAGACAGTCCAGTTTCTCCTGTATGAATCTGGGTCCCCAGAGACTCGCCCGAAACTGGAGTTCAGAGCAGTCAGGAGCTTGAGACTCCCTCCCGATTGAAAAAGACAACCGCATCCTCAGTTGCCAGCCCTTTCCACGTGCGCCTCCGTACCTCTGCACTTTACTTCCGCACCTCCTCTGAGTCTCAGTGTGCTTTTCTCTTTCCTTCTAGTTGTAGAATTTCCATTCAGCCAGCCTTCCTGTGGTTCTGGATGATGTCCGTTTTGTCTTTTAGTTGTATTTTTGAAGTGGTTGTGCGAGGCAGCAATTTCAGGTGTTTACCTATGCCGCCATCTTGGTTTCTCCTAAAATGATGGTCTTACTGGGGAGCAAGCAGTGTAGCAAAACTTATCAAGCACAAATCTAATGTCTAGAAATTTTGCTGGTATTGGATAAAGGCTTCTAGGAGATGAGCTGAATAGTCTCTGGATTTACAAAAATTTTTATTGAAGTCATTGTCATTGGCAAGGTCATGAGAAACAGGAAAACATAAGATTGAACCATCTGGCAGGGTCATAGTGTGGATCAGGTCCGGCAGGAATATAATTAGAGTGAGTGGGCTGCTCTTTAGTCTTTGACTAGAGGCCTGGTGCGCGAATTCGTGCACCAGTGGGGTCCCTCAGCCTGGCCTGCGGAATCAGGCCTAAACTGGTTCTCGACATCCCCCGAGGGGTCCCGGATTGCGAGAGGGCACAGGCCAGGCCGAGAGACCCCACAGGTGCATTGGGCCCTTGGTGTGTTTATAAAGCGTGGATCTTGCAAAAAAAAAAAGAAAGAAAAAAATTTGGGCCCTAGCTGGTTTTGCTCAGTGGATAGAGCATCAGCTATGGACTGAAGGGTCCCGGGTTCGATTCTGGTCAGGGGCACATGCCCAGGTTGCGGGCTCAATCCCCAGTGAAGGGTGTGCAGGAGGCAGCCAATCAGTGATTCTCTCTTATCATTGATGTTTCTCTCTCTCTCCCTTTCTCTCTGAAATCAATAAAAATGTATTATTAAAAAAAAAAAGAATTTGGGCCAGGTTCATTCAGGCATTCTGCCTCAGGTTGAAAAGGTTAATCAGTGGTTGTAGACATCATTTTGATGACAGCCTTCAAAAATTCTTCTTTTGAATCACACTGTTCCAGTTTGTACAAGCAATTTGGTATCAGTAGAGAATCACTGCCATCCTGCAATCTCCTTCAAACCCCTCTTAGGAATTTCCTTCAGCTCCTTCCCAGGTCATTGTCTTTTTGGATTACTATTGCTTTATTGGAGTCCATTGTTAATTAGCTTCTTGAGAAAGGGTACATGAGAAATACGTTTTTTGATACTTTGTATTTCTGAAAATGTCTTTGTTCAGTTCTGATACTTGATTGATAGATAGTATGAGGATTTGTCCATTCCTTGCTTTAGTTTAGCTTAGTTCTGTCCGTTTTGGCTTATGTAACTTGAGCTATGTTATTGAGTACATACACATTTATTGAGTATGTGTACATTTATGTATGTTCTATCGTCCTGATGATTTACCCTTCTATCATTTTGGAATATCATTCTTTATTTCTGGTTATAATCCTTGTTTGATATAAATATAGTCTACCCACCTTTTTATGGTGTATCTTTTTCTTTTTCCATTCTTACTGTTTCAACCTATATGTATTTTATGCATTTCCTCTAAGCAGCATATAGTTGAATCCTTTTTTTTAATCAAACTTGACAATTTTATTTTTATTTTCTTTATAATTAATTAAATTATAGGCACTGCTAGATTTGTGTCATCTTGCTATTTGTTTTTTATAAATTTTGTACGTGCGTTTTTAATTTTTTAAAAATATGTTTTTATTGATTTCAGAGAGGAAGGGAGAAAGATAGAAACATCAATGAGAGAGAATCATTGATTGGCTATTTCCCACAAGCCACACACTGGGGATCAAGCCCGCAACCCGGGCATGTACCCTGACCAGGAATTGAACCGTGACCTCCTGGTTCATAGGTTGACGCTCAACCACTGAGCCACGCCAACTGGGCTGTACATGTATTTTTTAAAAATATGTTTTTATTGATTTTAGAGAGAGAGGAAGGGAGAGGGAGAGAGAAACATGATTGGCTGCCTCCTGCACTTCCCCTACTGGGGATCAAGCCTGCAACCCCTGGCACATGCCCTGACCGGGAATCGAACCAGCGACCTCTTGGTGCACAGGATGATGTTCAATTCACTGAGCCACACCAGCCAAATTTTATTGGGGTGACATTGGTTCATAAAACTATACAGATTGCAAGTGTACAGTTCAACAAAACATCACTTGCTATTTGTTTTTTAATCTTTCTGTGCTCTTTTCCTTTGCATCTTTTTTTTTCTTTTTCTTTTTTCCTTTTTTTTATTGC